ACGCGGAATAAAGTGGTCGGAGCTCTAGACACCTTGTGAAAGAGAATCCACTGCCATTCCGCCGATCCCTTGTGGGTTGCAATGCCGTGTTCTGCTGTTCCGAGCTGTGGTGCGCTACGCTTCTTTACGTGGAGTCATGCTATACTCCCTGGTCACATGCTGCGCCATCCGCAGCCCCCAACAGAGCTCCCAGCAGGCTCCGAGACACCCCTCAAGATGTTTCAGCGGTCCAATGCGGCCTCGGGATAGCCCCAGACGGTGCACGACGGACCCAGGATGGCCCAAGACGGCTTCACGATGGCCCCAGGCTGTCCAAGACGGCGCCAGGATGGCACAAGACGGCGTTAAGGTGGTCCGAAACTGCCAGGATGCTCCCAACACGGCCCCAGCTGCACGCTCCCCACCCGGGGGGGAGGCATTTTTGTACAAATGAATGCCTCGACCGTGGGGGCGGGGGGGGAGGGGCAGACGGGCCAGGGCAGAATATTCAAGACGGCTCCCAAACGGCCCCAGACGGTCCAAGACGTACCAAGATGCTATCAAAACGGCCCCAGCTGCGGGCTCCCCCCCCCGCACAGACTCCGACGTCCGAGGGCGGCGAGGGCGCCGACCGACCTCCAACGACGCGCCCCGCGCTGGCGGCGGGCGCAGCTTGAACCCGACCGCCGCAGCCCGCCGGAGAGCCCTGGAGGGCGCCCAGGGCGCGGACCAGGGCACCAGGGGAAGCATTTTATTCAGGAATCGCGCTCTCGCTTGGGACGTCCTTACCATTTGTTCAGGGATCGCTCTCCCGGCGCTCTGGAGTCGCGCTCCCGCTGGAGACTTGCTTGCAATTTGCCGAAGAAGCCTTGGGGCTCCCGCTCCGAGGGCCTGCGAGAGAGCCCCCCTGGTTTGCCCGAGCGCCGTCTTGGGCGCCCGAGAGGGCAGGGGCCCGAGGGCCTCAGGCCCCGCCGAGGCCGAGGCCAGGGAACTGGCGGCCCCAGGACGACCCGCGACGGCCCCAGGACGGCTCCCGAGTCGCCCACGACGGCCCCCAGGACGGCCTCCAGGGCAGCCCTGGGAGCGGCCCCAAAACGGCCCAGGACAGCCCCAAGACGATCCCGAGACCGCCCCAGAGGCGCCCAAGAAGGGCCCCCGACGGCCCCAAGACGGCCCAAGAGCCACCCGAGACAGCTCGAGAGAGCCCCAACGGGAAACGCACATGTTCACAATGTCTTGTTTTTTTCGTCCTTACAGTGTCCAAAACGGCCATCTAGTCCCCCAAGCTCGCCCCAAAACGCGCCCAGAGGCCACCAGGAGCGCCCCAAAACGGTGCCACACTGCCCCGGGACGGCTCCAGAGACGCCCGACACGGCCCAGGACGCACCCAAGACAGCCCCAAGAGCAGTTCATTCTGGCCCAAGACGGCCCCACCGTCCCGTTTCCAAGACGGCTGTACAGGCCCCCGCCGCCCCGTCTCCAAGCCTTTCCGTCTGCACAGTCTCCAAGACGGCTGGTTGTACAGGCCCCCAGATCGCCCAAGATGTTCCCAGACGCCCCCAAGAGGACTCCAAAACGGCCCGAGACAGCCCCGCGACGGCTCCAGAGGCGCCCGAGACGGCTCAAGAAACACCCAAGACAGCCCTAAGAGCTCGGCCCAAGACGACCCCAAGACGGCCACAAGATGGTCCGACAAGCGCCCGAGACGGCCCCACATCGCCCCAAGACGACCCAAGAGGCCCTCAAGACGGCCCAAAAGGGCACCGAGAGACCCCCAGGAGGACGAAAAGAGGCCCCCAAACGGCCCCCAAGAGGCCGTGGATCCTTCTCTCTTGGGGAGCGTCGAACTTCCAGCGTCGTCTTTGGGGCTTCTTGGATCCTCTGGGAGCCATTTCTGCGCCTTTTGGGGACGTCTTGGGGCGGTGCGCTCGAAAGGTCGATTCGTGTGCTCGCACTGGGGCCCGTCTTAGGGAGTTCGCGGGGCCCCCTGGGGCCGTCTGGGAAGCCTCTTGGCCCGTCCTGGAGGCCTTTTGGACCGTCTCGCCGCCCTCTTGCGGGCCTCTTATGCCGCGCCCGCCGGCCCCATTGTCACCGCACTACCAGATAAAATTATCATTCGGCGAAGAGCACGTCAAATTATCACTGCGACCCTCCCCGCATAAGCTATGATGAACACAGACTGCGGCTTGAGAAACAGCTTATGTCCACACTATGTCATGCCTACATGGTGCGCTTCCACTGACACCGCCTCCACCACCGCGTTCCTGCCTTCAGGCCTGCTTGCCTGCATCCCTCGCCCACCTACCCCTCCAGCGGCCACCTCCTCCCCTCACCTGCGAGGCCCCGGAGACGCTCCACTTCCACGTCCACGCCATGGCGGGCAGATTCCGCGGCCTGGAGGCCGCGGGTCAGCCCTAGTCTGTACTACAATTCCGGGCGAAGCGCCTGCGAAAAGGACAAGCAGTGGTAGCGCCCCGGGCCGCCCAGAGAGCTCGCGGGCCGCCCGGAGAGCCTCCGGGCCGCTGCCCGACGGGCCCAGGAGGCCCCCGGACCTCGCGGACTGATCCAGGATTCCCAGATCGCTCCAAGACGGCCTCAGGTGGTCCCGAAGACGGCCCAAGACGGTCCAAGAGTGTATCCGAGACGCTTAAGATGGCTTCAAGACGCCTTCAAGACGGCCCGAGACGCCTCCACGAGGCCCCCAGAGCGCTCGAAGTGTACCTCCAAAAGGGGCCGCAGAAGCCAAAATCGTTGATTTTCTTCGTTTTTTTATAATGTTTTTGGCCTTCTCGCTTTTTCGGCTCTCCGACACTCCAAGACCGCCCAAGAGGCCCCCAAGACCGTTCCAAGACGGCCCAAGAGGCCTTCAAGACGGCCCCAAGACGGCCCAAGAGGGCCCCAAGACGGCCCACTGCCCAAGAGGGCCCCAAGAAGGCCGCAAGAGAGGCCCCAGACAGGGACCCGGAACTGAAAAATCGAGGCCTCCACCCCAAGAGGCCCCCAGGAAGCCCCAAGACGCCCCAAAGAAACGCCGGAACACTCCCAAGACATCCCCAGGAGGCCCCAGGACCCCCCAAAGAGGCTCCAAGAGGCCCCCCAGAGGCCGCCAAACGCCCCAAAAGGCTCCCAAGAGGCCCCAAAAGAGGGCCCAAGAGGCTCCAAGACGCCCCCAAACTGCTACCAAGAAGCCCCCAAACTGCCTCCCAGAGGCTCCCGAGAGGCCAACCACGAGATCCCAACCAACATCCACGAGATCTCTTACCCATTACCCAGGCCCGCGGCGAGATTGCCCGCAGGCCACTACAGCCGGTTCGGGGGCCCTACGTGTACCAGCACCCGCACCCTTGGCTGTATCGGGGGCCTCACCGCTGCTCTCTCGGTTCTGCTGGCTTCGACCTGCCAGAGCTCTGAGCCGCTCCCTGACGGTCCCAGGACGCCCCTGGAGCGCTCCCCGACGGCTCCCGGACCCCCACATCGCTCCAAGACGGCCCCAAAGACGCCCAAGAGAGCCGAAGCCGATCCGGCCCCCGAGGACCGCGTGGACGGCGCCAAGAAGCAATACGCGTGCGTTTTCCGAAGGTTTCGAGGGTTGTCTTGTTCCCGCCATTTCGGGCCTACAACGGCCCAGGATGGCCCCGGGGGCTTCCCAGATCGCCCCTGCACGGTCCAAGAGGGCCCCAGGAGGACTCCCAGACGGCCCAAGAAGGCCCGTAGACGGCCCAAGAGGGCTCCAAAACGGCCCAAGAGAGCTTCAAGCGACCCCCAAGTCAGCCCCAACCAGGCCCCAGCTCCCGCCCGAGCGCGGGCCCAGGGCGACCTCCGAGACGGCCTGAGACCCCCATGATGGCCCCAAGACGCCCCAGGGAGGGCCCCAGACGCCGCCCACAAGGGCCCAAAGCGACCTTCGCGACGGGCCGAGACCCCCGAGATGGCCCCAAGACCACCCTGCGCGGGCCCACTAACGTGGCCCCTTCACTCTGACGGTGCCTGAAAACCCTTGAGTTTGGGCTGATCGCGCCCAGTCCCAGCGCGATGAGCAAAAACCCATTCCTTTTCACGCTTCCAGGTCAGTGCCCCCGGGGCTCCCCGACTGCTTTCTGAGATCGCCCCTGGACGTGGTCCCTCACACGTCGGCCCCACGCGTGGCCTCCACACGGGACCCCCAAAGGCGGCCCCCACACAGAGCCTCCGAAGGTCGCCCCTACCGCCCCAGTAAGCGTGGCCCCCGAACGTCAACCCCACGCGTAGCCCCCCAGGCGCCCCCAAACGTGGCCCCAACACACACAGCCCCCAACCATTGCCCTCAAACGTGACCGTCACATCTGCCCCCGAACCCCGCACCCTCAAACGCGACCGTCACATGTGCCCCGAACCCCGCACGCGGCCCCCAAACATGGCCCCCGGCAGGGCCGCGAACGTTGCCCCCAACCATGACCCCCTGACGAGACCCCCCAACGTGGTCCTCAAACGAGGCCCCCCAACGTAGCGCCCAACTCTGGCCCCACGCGTCCACCCCCCACATCGAACTTCTCGCGCACAGGGACTCTGTGTAGGATCGTTCGGACCCCCTTACTCTGATTGTGTCTGGAAACCTACGTGTTTCTGCTAATCGCTCCCAGGCCTCGCGCGATTAGCAAAATCACATTACTTTTGACGCTTCCAGCGCTTCCGACACGTGCGCGTTCGGGACCAACGCCTGGACCTGCGGGCCGTGGATTTTCCACGGGTTCACACTAGTTAGCTACAGCGCTGGGATCAGCGCGTGCGAGAAGGGCAAGCAGTGGCAGCTGGCGCTTGCGCTGCTGAGCGAGATGTTGGAAGCGAATCTGGAACCCGACGTCATCAGTTACAGCGCTGGGATCAGCGCGTGCGAGAAGGGCGAGCAGTGGCAGCGGGCGCTTGCGCTGCTCAGTGATATGTGGGAGGCGAAGATGGAGCCCAACGTCATCAGCTACAACGCTGGGATCAGCGCGTGCGAGAAGGGCGAACAGTGGCAGCCGGCGCTGGCGCTGCTGAGTGAGATGCGGGGGCGCAAGCTGGAGCCCGACGTCATCAGCTACAGCGCTGGGATCAGCGCGTTCAGCGCGTGCGAGAAGGGAGAGCACTGGCAGCGGGCGCTTGCGCTGCTGAGTGAGATGTGGGAGGCGAATCTGAAGCCCAACGTCATCAGCTACAGCGCTGGGATCAGCGCGTGCGAGAAGGGCGGGCAGTGGCAGCCGGCGCTGGCGCTGCTTAGCGAGATGTGGGAGGCGAATTTGGAGCCCGACGTCATCTCTTCTCTATTGCGGACATCAGCGCGTGTCAGAAGGGCAGGCCGTCAAGTTGCTAAAATCGCCCCTTTACGCCAAATGAAATAGCGATCGGTACAGTAAAGAAGCTCTTCGATCCGAGGCTCCCACGAGCGAACAGTGACACAATAGGCTCTTCAACCCGATGCTCCCGAGAGCGAGCCGCAACGTCAAAAACTCTGAAAGCCACAGCTTCTAATAACGAGCGGTGACGTAACCAGCCCTTTGCACCAAGGCTCTCAATAGCGAAAAGCGCCATGAGCCATCTCGGGCAAGTTTCTGAAGCACTCTTTCCGTTTCCGTACCAGCGCGGGTCTTCCCTAACAAAATCAACCAGCTGTCGTGGACGTAGTCCACGGGTTCGCCCTCAAGACGCCCGAGCAGAACACACCGTAGCCCCCAAACGCACCAAAGACGCCCCGAGGGGCTCCCAAACGGCCCCCTCAAGGCTCTCAGCAGCTCCAGAATTGCCTCCAGGAGAGGGGGAGGGCAGAAGAGTCCATTGCTTTTTGAAGGAGTCCCAGGCTCTTCCCATCTGAATCCTAGAACGGCCCAACACGGCTCCAGGACCCGCTGCTCAGCGAGATGTGGCGACCGCAAATCACTTGCCACTTCGTGGGTCCACGGGTCAGCCCTAGTTTGTTACAACGCTGGGACCAGTGCGTGCGAGAAGGGCGAGCAGTGGCAGCGGGCTTTGACGCTGCTCAGCGAAATGCGGGAGGCGAAGCTGGAGCCCAACGCCATTTCTCCTGCAATGCCGGGAGCAGTGCGTGCGAGAAGGGTTTCCGCACGGAGTGCCTTTCGGCGGCTGCGAACCGCTGAAGAGGGCACCCCGACGGCCCCACGACGGCTCCGAGACGCTCCAGAGGCCGCCCCAACGGCCCACAGACAGATCTGAACCGCTCAACAGGGCGCCCGACGACCCCAAGACGGCTCCGAGCTGCTCCAGAGGCCACCTCCACGGCTCCAGGGGCCCTCCGAGCCGCTCAAGAGGCCGCTCCGACGGCCCCAATGGCCGCCAGGGCAGGCCAGGAACCTCCGAAGACGGCCCTCGAGGATTCCCCAGTACAGCCCCGAGATGCAAAAATCGTCCAATTCCTACCGGGAAACGGACATGTTTGGCATCCTCGTTTTTTTCGTCTCGACGCGTTCATGACGGCCACAGGGCCCCTCAAGATCGCCCCGAGATGCCCCCATCAGTGCCCCAAGACAGGCCCAGGACGGCCCAAGAGGTGCCCGAGACGGACCAAGAGGCACCCAGACAACAACCCCCAAAAACGGCCTAAGACGGACCAACACGGCCCAAAGACGGCCCGATAGGCGCCCAACTGGTCCGAAGACGGCCCCAGGACGGCCCAGAAGGCACCCACGACAGCCCCAAGACGGCCCCAAGACGGTCCAAGAGGCCCCCAGACGGCCCAAGAGGCGCCCAAGACGCGCCCAAGACGGCCCAAGACGGTTCCGAGACGCCCCAAACGGCACCGACGAGAGCACACGAGGGCCCCCAAATGCCCCTTCGAATCCGAAAAGAAGCCCCAAGGGGCCCCCACACGGCCCCCAAGAGGCCCTGAGTGGCTGGAGAATTCCCTCCAACAGAGGGGGGACGGACCAGAGGTGAGAGGCAGAACGCAGGCCCCAAACAGCCGTTTTCGATGCTCCGAGGGTTTACGATTGACGATCCAAGATCCAGGGCATGCAGGATCGAGGCAAGAAGGCGGAGGAGGAGGTGGAGGCGGAGGAGGAGGACGCGGACGCGGAGGAGCAGGAGTAGGAGGAGGAGGAAACCCGAGAAGGCCCAGAAGAGAGCCTCATGAGGGTCCATATGTCCATATGACGTACGGAGTTCTGATCGTGGCCACAAGACGGCCCCAGAGGAGGAGCCCAGACGGCCCAAGAGGGTCCCAAAAGGCTCCGAAGAGGCCCGCACGAGGTCCTGAGATGCCCTCACCCCCCCGAGAGGCCCCAGGAGGCTTCAAAACTGCCTCCAAGAGAGGGGGCCTGGCGCTCCTGACACCCGAGAGAGCTTCGCCTTCAACATCAGTCCAACAAAACGGCCTCCCGAACGTAGCGGAGCACGTCTGACCCAACAGCAGTTGTTGTTAAACTGCAATTGAATCTCGTGCCCTCCTGGAGCTCTCTTGGGTCCTCCCTGGAAATCCTTGCGAGCCTCTCCAACTCTCCAACGCTCCTGGTGGCGTTCCCCGAGGGCCTCCCGAGGCCTTCCCCGGGCGCTCCCGAGACGCCTCAAATGGGCCTCGACTTTCACACACATCCCCGAGAGGCTTCAAAACTGCCCCGAATAGAGGGAGTGGGCTCCGGGAACCGTTCGCCGCCCCATCAGGAATCCCAGAGGCGCCCCAGAGGCACTCCAATTTAACAACAGTCTAACAAGACAGCACTTCCGACCCAACAGTGGTCTCTGTTAAGATCTTATTGAATGTCACGCCCTCTTGAAGCTTTCTTGGGCCCTCCCTGGAGATCCTTGCGAGCCTCCCCGGCGCTCCCGGTGGCTTTCCCCGAGGGCCTCCCGAGCCCTTACCCGGTCGCTCCTGAGACGCCTCATGTGGGCTTCGATTTTGACGCACATCCCCGAGATACTTCAAGGCTGCCCCTACTAGGAGGGGTGCGAACGAGCCGTGCGCTGGGGCCGAGCTGCTGGATCCCTGCAAGAGCTCGGACACGAAGGCGCGGTCTCGCTGCCGCCGCCCTGGCCGCCGCCGGTCGTTCCTCCGAGAACCATTCCAGGAAGATGTTGTGGACGGAGTCCACGGGTCAGCCCTAGTCTCTCCTACAGCGCTGGGATCAGCGCGTGCGAGAAGGGCGAGCAGTGGCAGCGGGCGCTTGCGCTGCTCAGTGAGATGCGGGAGGCGAAGCTGGAGCCCGACGCCATCTCTTCTCTATGGCAGACGGAAGCGCGTGCGAAAAGGTCGTGCACTTTGCCCTCCCTGGAGGGCCTTTTTTCGACACCCCTCACGCAGATCCTGGCCCCCGAGCGTCACAAATCGAGCCCTCCCCCCAAAGACGCGCCGAAGTGGCCATCAGAGGCTCCAAGGAGCGTCCAGGAGGCCCCCTAGAGCCATAGAGGCCCCCAACAAGGCCCAAGAGGCCTCCAAGAGCCTCCAACAGTCCTCCAAAGCATGCCCCCCAGAGGCCAACGTCCTTTATTTTTCAATGGTTTTTGAAGGAGTTTCGCCTTCTCGCCTTCTCGGCTAGCCGACGCTCCAAGACGGCCGAAGAGACCCACAAGACCGCCCCAGGACGGCCCAACAGGCCTCCAAGCGCGCCCCCAGACGGCCCAGGGAGGCCCAAGATGGCCAAAGAGGCGCCCAAGACGGCCCCAGAGGACCCCAAGCCAGACCCAAGAGGGGGCCAAAGAACGGGGAAAAACCCTGGCACTCCGAGCCCTGGGCCCCCATACGCCCACACAAGGCCCCAAGATCCCCCCAAGGGAACGCCAAGAGGTCCCCAGAGGCCTCCAAGAAGCCCAAGGCAAGCCCCAAGACGGCCCCCCAAGAGGCCCCAAAGCTGCCTCCAAGAGGAACCCCAGACGCCTCTGAGCCATTACCCAGGCACAGGCACGGTGGCGGATTTCGCCGAAGGCCATGATGCGTGCCAAAAGGTTTTTTGTTTTGAAATGTCCGCCAGGCTCTTCAGGCCGCCCTGCGAGCCCCCAGGCCACTCCGAGACGGCTCAGAAACGCTCACGAGGGCGCCTGGACAGACCAAGAGGGACCCAACCGAGCCCCATGTCGGCCCCAGAGGCCTCCAAGGCAGGCCAGGAGGCTCCCAAGGCGGCCCAGGAGGACAAAGAGGGATTCAAGACGCAAAAATTGGCCCCTTCCCCTTGGAAAACGTACATTTTCGGTATGCTCGCTCTTTTCTTCTTCACCGCGTCCAAGACGGCTATACAGGCCTTCCCGATCGCCCCAAGACGCCCCCAGAGCACCCCAGGAGGGCCCCGAAGCGGCCCGAGGCGGGCCCGCGACGGCTCCAGAGACGCCCTAGACGGCCCAAGCGGCAACCAAGACAGCCCAAAGAGCGGTCAATAACGGCCCAAGACGACCCCAAGACGGTCCGAGCTGCGCCCAGGACGGCCCCACACGGCCCCAAGACGGCCCAAGAGGCACTTAAGTTATAGACGGCCCAAGAGGGACCCAAGGGATTCCCGGGAGGCCGGAAAGATGCCCCCAAACGGCCCCCAAGTGGCCCTAAGTGGCTTCCACCTTGCCTCTAAGAGAGGGGGGTCGGACGAGAGGCGAGGGCCAGACCGCATGCCCACAAGAGCTGTTTTCAACGCTCTGGGGTCCTGCCATGCTTGTCTTTTGGGGAGCGGTCCAGAGCTCCCCGGAGCGCTCCGGGAGCCCTTCGGGCGCTCCAGGACCCTTGGAGGCTCCCTAGATGGCGCCATGAGGGCCCCACAAGGCGCCATGAGGGCCCCAGACGGTCCTTGCACGCTCCGGGAAGCCCCACAGAGCGTCCACGAGGCCCCTCAAATGGGCACGACACGACCCAAGCGAGCGCCAAGGCGCTCCAAGAGGCAGGCCTCCAAGAGGCCTCACAAGAGGGTCCCGAGAGGTCAAAATCGTTTGTTGCCCTAGGCTTTTCCAAAGATTTCCCGCTTGCCGCCAATTCAGCTTTCGGACACTCGAAGCAGCCCTGGAAGACTTCAAGGCCACCCCAAAAGGACCCCAAACGCCCCCAGGAGGCTCCCAGGAGGGCCCCAGGACGGGCCAAGACCGCCCTAGCACGGCCCAAGGCGCGCTGAAGACGGCCCAAGACGGCTCGAAGACGGCTCCACGAGGGTGCCAACACGGCCCCAGACGGGCCCAGCACGGCCCAAGGCACGCTCAAGACGGCCCAAGACGACTCCAAGACGGTCCCAGGAGGGTGCCAACACTAGGCCCCTGTGGGCGAACAAGAGGAAACCCAGCGGGCCGCCAACCCTGGGGCCCGTAGGCCCCGCGCCGCTTGGGCAGAAGACGAACGCCAGGTCTGATAGGCCAGCTACCGCCCCCCTTTGCCCGATATGCTGTGCCATTCTGTTCCCCCAGGGGCCTTGGCAAACTCTTTGGGCCAACCAGACCGGACCCCTGGGACAGCAGCCAATTGATATGACCCAGGCACCTCTCCACACTCTTCGGACCGCAGACCCTCTGGGCGAGCAGAATGGGACTTGGCGAACAAACCCTCCCGTTGGCGGCGATGCGACTGGATCGCACCATCAAGGCGTGCCCGGAGGTGATGGCCGACCCAACAGCGGTTTCTGTTAAGATTTAAGCTCTCTTGGGCCCTCCTTGTAGATCCTTGCGCTCCCTGGCGCTTTCGGTGGTTTTCCCCGATGGCCTCCCGAGCCCTTCCCCAGGCGCTCCTGAGACGCCTCAGATGGGCTTCGACTTCGACGCACATCCCCGAGAGACTTCGAAACTGCCCTCAATAGGAGGGGGGTGAACGAGCAGTGCGCCGGGGCCAAGCTGCTGGAGCGCTGCAAGAGCTCGGACACGAAGGCGCGGTCTCGCTGCCGCCGCCCGAGCCGCCGCCGTGTTTGTAGATTTTCGGTGCAATCTGCGCCGTTCCTCCGAGAACCATTCCAGAAAGATGTCGTGGACGGAGTCCACGGGTCAGCCCTAGTCTGTACTACAATTCCGGGCGAAGCGCGCGCGAGAAGGTCAGGCAGTGGCAGCGCCCCGGGCCGCCCAGAG